CATGTTGGCGCGCTTGGCCTCAGGCGCACAGGGATCGAGCACGGTCGGCAGATGGGTGAGCAGATGCGTCACGCAGCCCTGCCGCCGCTTTGGCGGCCGCGCACAGTGCCGCCGTCGACGCCGCCAAGCAGGCGCCCACCCAGTCGAGCGTGTCGCGCTGCGTCTGGCTTTTTGGGCCTATCATGCTCGCCATCGGCACCGGCGCGAAGGCGGCCACCGCCGCCGCGTCGTAAAGGCACGGCGCGCCGTCCGGAAGGGCGCACCCACCACGTGGCTCGCCAGCACGGAATTTTCGGCACCAGTCCGGCGGCTTGCCCGAGCGCCCAGAAACGCCGCGCGACGGCGTGCAATAGGCCATCGCTCCCGCATGCCCGGGCTGAGCCAAGTCGAAGGCGGCGACCAGCCGGTCAGCGCGGCGCGCCATCGGCGGACCGCTGCTTCCAGTCGCCCCAGCAATGCGCATCATCGAACAGCTCGTAGGACGGCGACCAGATCAGGTCACAGCCCAGCGCCTTGGCCTCATGGGCAAAGCCACGATGCCATGCCGCACTTGCCACGTTGGAGCGCACCGCCCGCAGGCTCGCGTAAAGCCCTTCGCCACTGCGTTCAGGCCGGAAATAATGGCTCATGCCGACATAATGGACGATGCTGCCGCGATAGCCGAGATGCAGCATGTTGCGCAGCAAACGCTGCGGCGTCAGGTGATAGCTGTCGTCATAGCCGCTCGCGATGCCGAACCCCTGTTCCGGGCAGTACCGCCGCGCCCACCCCGATCACCGCGCCGGGCCCATCGCAGGCGATGCCGGTCAGTTCACCTTCCCCTCCTGCGGCTGGACCAGGAAATTGCGCACCCGCATTGTAATCAGGCGCGACTAGCGAGACGAACATCCGGTCGACATCCCCCACCCGGACGGGATCGCGATTTTCCGGAAATGTGAACCCGCCGGCCAGATCCGCGAAGTCGATCGCGACCTCGGCGTCTTCGGGCGTGCCGGTCGCGTAATTCCACAACCGGACATACCGGGCGCGCGGCCCCCTTCTGCGTCACGCCCCTCGATGGTCAGTGTCGGCCCATGAATGGCATCGAGCGGCTTGATCCCGCCCGAGCGCCAGCGGGAACCGCAACCGGCAGTTGCGATAATCACGCACCGTCTCAGCAGCGCAGCAGCGGATGGTCGTGCCGGTCAGCGGACTCCCAGATCAGCCCCGCCAGATCGTCGGCGCGGTAGAAGACGGCATCGATGCGCAACGCATCCGCCGCGGTCGCCACCACCGCCGCCATCATCAGGCGCGCAGGAAATCGACCGTCCAGTACCGCGGATCGAAGCGCGACAGCGTATCGCTCCGCTGCGCCCGGCGTTCGCTATGCAGACACCATTGCATATGCCCCTCCCTCAATCCTCGGCCAGCGCGGCGCGCACCGCCCGCGCCACTGGCGGCTGGAGCGTTTGCAGCACGCCGCCCGCCTCACCAGCCCGGCATTGATCGTGATCGCGACCCGCACCTCGCGTGGGCCACCGCCGGGGCGCAGCGTCTCGACCCGCCCTGCTGGTCGGCACAAAGAACTTCAGGTCCCCGCTCGCCACGACCAGATAGGGGCGGTCGGAGCGATACCGGTCCGCCAGTCGCGCAGCCGGGCAGGCCCGACACCAAGCCGCCCAGCAGATCGAGCAATCCCGCCATTCCCCGGGGACCCGCGCCCTGCCGCAACGCCGCCCGTGCGATTTGGTCGAGCACCGACAAGGCGGTCGCCTTCAGCCCTCGAACCCGAATTTGCCGGTACGTGCGGCGCGGAGCAGCTGACCCCCGATCGTCCGCGCGCCCAGTTCTGCCACGTCGCCCGTGCCCCGTGACAATTCGGCCCTGTCGTCGCCATGTCGGCGGCGAAGCCCCACATATCGATGCAGGGGACAAGATCCCGCTCATCCATCCGACATCTCCCGCAATCGGGCGAGCGTAGCAGGCGAAGGCGGTGCCCCCACCCTGCCCCGCCCCGTCATCGCCGTCACCACGCCCCTGAAGCTCGGCTTGGCGTCGCGCGCCAAACGCTTGGGCGACCAGCCCAGCACAGCCCCCGCCATGCCCGCCAGCCGCGCCCGCATCCTCGGCGAAGGTCACCGCCCGCCCAATATCTGCGCAGCAATTGGCGCAGCACGGCGCCAGCGCCGCTAGCCCCAGTTCGACCAGCGCCTCGCCCAGTTGCTCGCGGCCCAGCCCCTCAGGGACCTCGCGCAGGCAATGCCAGATCAGGCCGCCGCCTCGCCGAGCGACAGCTTGCCCCTCGCCCGCGCGCTCGACCAGCTCGAACAAGGGCCCGGGTTCGCCCTCCGCCGCGACCAGCGCCCGGAAAACTCGGACGCACGACCAGTTCGCTGCCTCCGACGCGCAGCGCCGCCTCACCCCGCATGGGATCTGCCCGGCGCGCTCATGCCGCCACCACCGGGCGGAGCTTTCCAAGGCCAGCGTGTAGGTCCGCTCGCCACCGAAATCGCCGCTATAATCCAGCCGCGTGACCGAGAACCGCGCGGTCATCGAACCACCGCTTTCCAAGCTCAACCGATAGCTCTCGATTGTGCCCGCCAGCGCATGGCCGCGCATCCGGGCCTCCGCCGCCGATCTGGTGAATACCCCTGCGCCGGCGACGCTGACATGCCGCACCCCCGCACCGGACAGCAGTTCGCGCCAGCCGCCTGGTCCTTGGACGTCACCACCGTCTCCATTGATCGACAGTTGCGTGGGTGCGCAGCCCCGCCATCGTCGCGTGAAGGCGGGTGGCTCCGTCCCGTCACGCCGATCTTGAGCAGAAAGGCGCTTCCCTTTTCGATTGCCATATCGCCCCCTTATTGCCCCATTGACGCCACAGCCGGGCGCGCCACTCGACGCTGGTGGTCCAGCGCCGCACCGCTCTTGGCCATGCGCGTCGCCGTCACGGTCAGCCCGGCGACCCGCCACCCGTCCGAAAGTCCTTCCGGCAAATGTGATCGCCTCGACGGCACCATCGGCGCAGCCGCCGGGCTGCTCCCCGTCGGTCAGGGTGACGGTGACGCGCGAGTTCGCGCCCCTCAATCCCGCCGCCCCCAATCGCTGTCGCTCGGCTCGCCCAGCACGGCCTCGCGGCACGCTCCGCGCTCGGACCGGCAGCGCGTCGAACACCATCACGCCCAAGGGGCGGCAAGGCGCTACGTAAAGCCGGTTTCAGCAATCCGCCGCGCAAAGCCTCGCGCGCGGTCATGCCCGCCTCGGCGTATCAGGCCGCATCCGCCGCCACGGCCGCCACAAGGCAGCGACCGCTGCGGCAGCTTTGGCGGCGGCATCGCGATTGTTTAACAGATGCGCGCCCATGATCGCGGCGCCGTGCGCAACCCGGCAGCAGCCCGCCCAATCCGCCACGCCAGCCCCGCGCGGTAGCGGCACCGTCAGTTCCTCGCGCGTGCGGACCCCAGCCACGGCCATCGCGACGATCGCCTCGCCCCCCGACAGGATCGCGCGACCGGCGTCGCCGACAGCGGCTGCCGGGCGACCGGGCCGGCACGCGATCCTCGACCATCCGCCTGATCAGCAGCTGCCCGCAGAAGGATCGGCGGCGGCCAGCCCCAGCGCGACGCCGGCGACCCGATCGACCAGCGCCGCCTCATTACCGTCCTCCAGGCTGCAACAGCGCGCGCATTGCCCTGCTGCCGCCGTCACGGCGCGGGCGGCATGGGCTCCATCGTCCCGCTCATCATGAATTCTCCCCCGATACGGGTTGCGACAGGTCCGGACACACGGCGTCACGCTTGAGGAGCAGAGACTCGGCCAGCCGCTGCCCGCCACCCTCTGGTACCGGCTATGCCGACCCGCGCCCCCGGCCGGTCCGGCATCCTCCTTGAACTACGGGCGGCCCCTGCCGGCTGCCCCGGATTTTTCAAGCGCTTAGTTCGTCGCGAACATCAGCTTCTGATCATATCCGAGTCGTTGACACAGCTGCCGACCCGCCGCGTCGCGTAAAAGGTCACGAACGGCTTGTTGCTGTACAGGTCGCGCAGGATCGCGGTCTCGGCACGTCTGGCAAATGAGGGTATCTGGCCCGAAATTGCCGAAGGCGATCGCATACATCGCCAGCGATGTCGGTACGTCCTCCGCCCCGACCACCGGATAGCCAGGCAGCGTCGCGGGCTGCCCCGCCATGAGGGCCGGCGCCCAGAGGAACTGGCCGTCCGTCGTCTTCATCTTGCGGATGCGCCCGAGGTTGCGCGGCGTTCTCACGGCACGCCCCCTGACGGCATGGCGCGCGGACTGGTTGTATCGACCAGCCGCTCTTCCTGATTGGGCCCCTGAACGCCCCCGGCGCGCCCGTCGCCAGATGTTGCAGCGTGCCGAAGGGGCGCACGCGCGCGGCGGTGGAGATGGGGTTATCCAGAAACCCTTTGGGCCGGATTGGTCCCATTGCCATTGACGAAGGCCTGCCCCTCGGCGCGCGCGCGAATTCGGTCGCGATCTCGCCCGCCAACCAGCCTTCGACATCGAAACCCGCATCGTCGAGCATCGCCGGCTGGCCGAGGGATTGGCATAGAGCCGCCCATCGGCGGCGCGAGTTCGACGAAGCTGGGCGTCGTGGTTTCCGGGCCGCGCCGCCGTCTCGCTCGCCCAGCCTGAGGGCGTGCCGCCGGTGGTCACCAGCGCGATAGCCGGCCGAGCCCACGCTCACGACATTGGCGATGCTGCGGATCGGCGAGGCGTGCCTTAGCACCGAGGCATCGTTGCATCGATCTCCCCTGTGGCACGGCAAGCCACCGCTGTCGCCGGTCGTGCCGGTAAAGGCCTTTCGCTCGACGGTGGTGCCGCTGCGCACATAGCCGTCGAAAGCGCCGCCGGTCTTGCGCGCCGTCCAGCACGGGTCGTTCGATCCGTCCATCAATCCCCTTGGTCAAAATGCCGTGATTCGCGGGCGAGCGGCTGCATCGTTCGTCACCAGCTGATTCCGAGAAGTTCGGCCGACGGGATCGCGCGAGCCGCCCCTGATGGACGACGCGCGGCCGGTAGCCGACCGACAGTCCTGCCACCGCGCCCGAGCGGACAGTGCGGCAAGCGTGGTCGTCGACCGTCCCCTCGACCGACAGCCCCCGTATCGTCCTCCGCGAGGGTCGCGATGCGCCCGACCGCCTGCCCGCGATGCTGCCAGAGCAAAGGCACATGCTCAGCGCCCGCAGAAGGGCGCCGCGCCGCATGACGTCGCCCGCCGGTCCAACCGGTCCCCAGATCGCGGCATAGCCGGTGAAGGAGGCTCATTTCAGCCAGTCCTCCATGCCCAGCCGCATCACGATCCCCGCCAGCAGCGCGCCGGGAACGTTGGTCAGCCAGCCGATCGCGCTTTTCCACACTGACGACTTGGCATCACGCCACGCCGACAGCAGTTCACGCAGCTCGGCGACATCCTCCGCTGCATCGGCGTCCGACAGGCCCAACCGGGTCAGTGCCCGCTTTGCGCCCAGCTCGCCGGCTTCCTCGGCGACCGCACGCGGCAAGTTACGAGGTCGGCACTGCTATCCGCTGCCTGCGCCAGCAGTCGCGCCAGAACATCGCCGCTCGCGACAAGCCGACCATGGCGCGCTTCCCGCCGGATCGAGTCGGCGCGGGCATATCTGCCACAGCATCTGGCGCTCCTCGGCCAGTGCGGTGACGCGGTTGATGTCGACCGACAGGCTCGCCCCTTCGAACCAACTCGCGAGTCCCTGCAAAGACCGCTGAGGATTCCCAGCGGCAGGATCGCTTGCCCGCCAAAGCGCGGTTCGCCTCGCGGTAATTGGCGCCAAATATTGTCGCCAGGTAGCCCGAGCAGCATCGGCGGCACGCCAAGGCCAGCGCGCGATCTCGCGCGCCGCCGACGACTTGCCGCGATGAAATCGAGCTCCAGCGGGCGTCAGGCTCATCGCCTGCCACTGGCCCGCCTTCGAGCAGCAATGGACGCCCCGCATTGCCGCTGCCCGCAAAGCCCTCCATCTCCGGCGCGCAGTCAGTTCGGAACTGGTCAGGGGTCAGGGGTCGAGCCATCCCCGGATCATATAGACCAGCGCCCCCGATGGCCCGCGCCACATTGTCGAGCAGCGCCCGGTTCCGTGCGGTGGCGGCCGCGTTTGTGAATCGCGATCGCCCCGCCGCCGCGCCCAGACAACCCAGTCCATAATGGATCGTCGAGCGGATGGCAGCTCTTCACGTGCACGACCTGCGGCGCTGCCGGATCGACCGGCAGCGTCGTCACCCGGCCCGCCGGCACGGTAGAGGAACGCGGCGGGCCAGCCGCTGGCGTCCAGCTCCATCGTCACCCGCTCCAGGCCGCAGCGCAAACAGCTCGGCGACCCGCCGTCGGCATCGCGCAGCACCTGCACATAGGCATTGCCGTGCAACAACATATGCGTCGCTACCGTCTCCAGCAGCGCCTGCCCTCGCCGCGCGCCTGACCAGCGGGATCAGTTCTGGATGCGAGGCGGTCAGCGGCGCATCCGCCAGCCTGCCCGCGACCATCCGCACTGCCCGCTGCGCCACTGGATTGCGGGCACCCCTCACGCACCTGCGTTTCATAGGAAGGCGCCGCCCCGTCAGCGGCACCCCGACCAGGCCAAGCCCAGCCAGGAGCAAAGGACGCGCGCCCCCGCCCGGCCTTGCGACCGAACATCCCCATCGTATCTGCTCCTCGAAAACCATTCCTCCCCTGCAGGGAGGGGACCAACGAAGCTGGTGGAGGGGTGCGTCACCGCCCGCCGTGACGGACCTACCTCTCAAGCGTGACACCCCTCCGTCAGGCCTGGTGGCCTGCCACCCCTGCAGGGGAGGAAAAGATGCCCTCACAAATTCCGTATCCCCGGCGGGCCCCGCCCGGACAGCATCAGCTCGGTCAGCGCCCAGACCAGCGCATCGGCACCCCGATCCGCGAGTGGCCCGGCCCGTCATAGGCCCCTGGCCACCCCAGCCCGCAGAGCCTGTCCCTCCCAGCGCAGGAAACCACGCATACCACACGCGTTCCTGCGCATAGAGAAAGGGATTACCGGCTCCCGCCCGCGCGGGCCTTTCCGATCGAGGCATAGACCAGATGCACCGGCAGGGGTCGGGTCGGCGAGCCGCAGCACGCTTTCGACCATATCCCCGCCCCGGGTTGCGCTCAGGCCACCACCCGGTCGGCGCGGTTGCCGAGCACAGCCCGCCACGCGCGCCGCCCTTAGCCTTCAGGTGACAGCCCGCCTCGCTGGCATCCTCTGGCACATAGCCATGCCTGTCGCGCCCAGGCCCGACCGCAACGATCCCGCAGGCATCGCCGCTGCTCGTCGCAGGCGGATCGACGCCGACCACCACCCGGTCGAGCGCGGGCACCGTCTTCACCCGCGCTGCCGGTCGAGCGTGCGCGCGGGTCCACAGCGCCCCTCGCGGTCGTCGACCATCTCGCCGTCCAGCCCTGCCGCCCCAGCCGCGTGTCGCCATACTGGGAGAGCATCGCATCCTGAAAGCTGTCGGGCAGATGCGCATTGTCGCTGGTCCGCCTGATCGTCTCGACACAGTCGGGCAGTGCCATGACCTTGCGCATCCAGCGGCGTCGCGCGCGGCGTGGTCGACCAGCACGCGGATGCTCGCCCAGCCGGAGCGTCATCACCAGATTGTCCCATCCGGCCTCCCCTTCCACTTGCCCAGTTCGTCGCACCAGTGGCGTGATGCTGCGGCCCGCGCAAAGCCCCGGGCGCCGCCGCCGAGTAAGCGAAGCCGATCGCGCCCGACGAAATGCACCTGTCCTGTGCTGATCCATTTGGGCGCTTTAATGCGCGCCACCGCCAGCAGCCCACTTTGCCGCGCACCATTACCCGTTCAACATCGCGGGAGCGTTGCGCCCATCAGCGCGATCCGCGCGCCGATTGTCGCGGCCAGCGCGCTCACCCATTCAGCACCCGCACGCGTCTTGCCGAAACTGCGTCCTGCCCGGATCAGCCAGACCGCCAGTCGCCCGGTGGCGCCACCTGTCCGTCATGCGCCCATAATTCCCCATCGCTCGACCAGCTCGCGCTTCTGCGCGGGCCGTCAACGCGGCCAGCGCTTGTTCGCGCGCGCAGGGTTCCAGCATCGCCAGCGTGGCGAGCCGCGTTGCCGCATCCTGTCCCGCCATCACGCCATCCCCTTCAACCGCCGCCGTGCCAACCCGTCGAGCGCGCGTTCAGCGCCGCATCGGTCTCGGCTGCATCGGCCGCACCGCTTCGCTGACGCCATCACCAGCCTTGGCCAGTGCATCGCGCCGCGCGAGCAGCTTCAGATAGAATTGCCTCAGTGGCGCTGAGCGGCGTGGGGTGATGGAGAGGCCGGCGGTCCCCGCACCGGCCTCTCCCGTCCTCCCCCCCTCAGCCACAGACAACAGGATCAGCATACGGCGCAGCAGACCTTCCTCGACCAGCGCATGCGCCGCTCCGATCGCCTCGGCCCAGCCCTTCGCGAAGCCGATCGCGTCGCCGCAATCCCCGTGCCGCGCCGAGCGTCTCTCCACCGCCCGCGCCGCCACGCCCGCATCGGCACTGATCGCCAGCGCCTCCGAATTGCCGTCGCCGCGCCTGCGTCCACCGCGCGCCCTCCCCGTTCCGGCCATTCCCCGCTCCCCGAAGCACCGGGGGGCAGATGCGGTCGCTCCCTTCGGACCCCACTCGCCCCTTGATGTTCCTGTTATGTACCGAAAGCTGGGGTTTGTATCCAACAAACGAACCCAGTTGGTTGGTCGCACAAAAGCGGGCTTGCCAGACGCAGAAGGCGTCGGCATTAGGCGAAGCTTCCTGAGAGGGGGCGATTGGCTCAGTTGGTAGAGCGTCCCGTTTACACCGAGAATGTCGGCGGTTCGAGCCGTCATCGCCCACCATTCCAAAAACGTCGTCGAATAGCCCCCATTCCGGTGAAGGCCGGGGCCAGTTACCGTCTCATTACGGCTATTCCAACAAAATGGTTGTTCGCGCGGGGCGCGCGGAGGACGCAGAGGTCGTCCGATTGGCTGCGGCTCGTCTTCATCACCAAGTGGAGAGGTGCATAAGCCGCGACGGGCGGGACACGTCCGCGTTATCCGCCCCTCCCGCGCGAACAAAATCTCTCTCGACTCGCTACCGTTTCATCGCATGCATGGCATCTGGACCCCGGCTCGCTGGGGTGGTCCTCAATGGCCCGCGATCAGGCCAGTTTTCAGTAAGTCGCGTACTGCCATGCGCGATGCGGTGGTAGGGGACCAGCTGCACCGGCTGGCCATCCGACGCTGGGATGTGAATTCCAGCGCCGGGCCGTGGCCCGGATCTGCTGGGGCCAAGGCTTTCGGATCGCCGGACAAAGCGTGGGCGCCCGAACGGTGTGCGTTATTACCTGCCATATTTACGCCTTCGCTGATGATGATGTCGGCCCCGGCGCCAGCCCTCGCGGCCCAGCGCACCGCCAGCACCAAGCGGGCCATAGGTGAAAACGACGATCTCCGGCGCGGCGGGGGGCGCTGACGGCGGGCTCCATGACGAGGCGCATTTCCACCGTATCGCCGGTCTTCCGTGTCCAGGTCAGCTCGGCATAGCTGCCGGGCTTTGTCGGAGGCGAGACTTCGGCCCCCGTTGACAAGCAGCGGCGGTCGGGCTCCATTTCGATGACGCAGCTTCAGCGTCCGCCTGGTCGGCTGGCGCAGCTTCCAGCGGAACGGGTGTTGGCCGCGTCCGGGAAGGTCGTCGCACGGGTCAGCACCGCGCCCTTGTCCGGCCCGTAGTCATCACGGTCGAGGGATGAACAGGTTCACATAGAGCGCGCGATCGTCGGAAGCAGATCGAGTCGCGATATTTGACGATTCTCCATCCCCGTACCGGTGCGGCACCAGAAGCTGTCTTCCGGGGTGGGTGAGCTTCGCGTAGCCGGGCCGCGCACCGGAAATAGGTCGCCATGCCCAAATCCGGGTCCTGCGAGAGGCGAGGATGCCGTTGTAGAGCGTGCGCTCGTAATAATCGGCATATTCCGCGCGCGGATCGCGCAGGAACAGCGCGCGGGTCAGCTTGAGCATGTTGTGCGCTGGCAGCAGGTTTCCGACCCCGGCCGAGAAGACATACTTTTGTCGAAATCGGCCATGGCGAAGAAATGCTCGGCATCGCCATGCCCGCCAGTCGCGAAGGCGCGGGTATGCGCCACGGTCCCGCCAGAAAAAGGCGGCGGCGTTGTGATATTTGTCGTCGCCGGTCGCCCTGAACACGCGCTGGAAGCCGATGATCTTCGGATCTGCGTGTTGGCATGCATGCCGTCGAGATAGTCGCGGCCCTGCGCCAGCGGGTTTCATGATCGCCTTTGCGAGAAGCGCGCTCGGCGACGCGGCGATAATCCTCGCTGCCGGTCATGAAATACAGATCGGCATAGATCTCGTCATGCCGCCATATTCGGTTTCCAGCATCTTCTCGAACTGTTCGTCCGACAAGGGCTTGGTCGCCACGACGCCCTAATCGGCCAGTCGGAACAGCACGCCGCGCGACGGCTCGCTATCGGCCAGTTGCACGAGTCGCGGAGCCCCATAGACCTTGTGCAGCGTGTACTGTGGCACCGGTGATCGGCTCACCCCGCAGATGCGCCGCGACCAGCGCCGGCCCCTTGGGAAGGCGCAGACCGCCGCTGCCCGACGCCTTCTGGCAGGCCGCCAGTTCGTTCGCGATATAGTCGATCCGCCGACGATAGCGCTTGTCCTGGTCGCCCGATACGCAAGCGCGCAGGCCGAAAGGTAATGGCCCAGCGGCTGGCCATGGCAGTTGATGTCCGCCCATTCCGGCTCAAACTCCCAGCCGCCATAGGCCGGGGCCTTGGGCTTCAGTCCGGCATTGGCGCGAAATTGGCGAGCAGTCGGTCGGGCTGGAGGCGCATCAGATACGCCTCGGTCATGCGCTGCGCGTGAAGGAAGGCCCTCCGTCCAGCGTCACATCGGCCATGTCGAAGGGCTGCACGACGAGGTTGGGGCAAACCGGTCGCCTTGCGGCGCCGCCAGGTGCGCTGGCGGGCATCACCATGCCCATACCGGTCGCCATGGCCCCTGATGCTGGCGGTGGTAGGACGTCGCGACGCGACACGGGGGCATGGCAGCATGAGTGCACCGATCTTCTCCGACAATTTATTTTGCCCAAACGTAGCGACCAACCGCCCGCCTCAGCAACATCTTTTGTCGCACGTCGGAGATCGATCAGCATCACCTATAAACACAGGATTTTTTTACCTTCAGCCTGCCCCAGGCTGATCCGACCCAACCCAGCCCGTTTCCCACCCGATTACTTGAGCGATCTTTTGTCGGACTGATTCACTGCCCGCGATCGTCGGGTGGCTGACCAGCGGGAAGCCGCCGGCATCCCCACATGGCTCTGCCCCACGCGCAGGTTCATCGCCCAGAGCATCTGCACCAAAGGCACCCCCGGCCGCCGCTGTCCGGGCAGCACGGCAACCACGCCCTGCGCCAGCGCCGGGCCGAGATCGTCGAGGTCCGTGGTGAAGCAGGTCAGGTCGGGCGACAGCGCGCGGCAGGCGGATTGTCACGCAGCCCGATCACCGCGACATCGCGCCCGGGCTCCAGCCCCATGCCGCGCAGCGCGATACGCCCCCACCGGCGCGGTTTCGCCCATCAGCAGCAGCGCGGTGGGACGGTCGGCCAGCGCCATCAACTCGCGCGCGTCGCCTCGCCATCGCTCTCGTCCGTCTCGCCATGGTGGGACCAGCGCCGGTCGAAGGGCAAGCTTGCCGCTCCAATGCGGCGCGATAGCGCTCGACCACGATATGGCTGTTGTTGACGTCACCGGCGGCGCGACCAGGGCCGATCCGATAGTGGCCCGCCTCGGTCAGCAGCGCCATAGCTCTTTGGTGACGAGGCTCTCGAAATCCGTGTCGATTCAGCATAATCGCGCTCGGTCGCGGTCCGCCCCAGCGCGACGAAGGGGATGCCGCGATCGAGCAGGAAATGATGCGCGGATCGGCGCGATCTGCGCCCGACAGCACCCATCCATCGACGGTGCCGCGCGCGACATGCCGCCGCAGGAAGGTCAGCCGTCCTCCCCCTTGCGTGCCAGCAGGACGACCAGATCGAGGTCGTGCTCGCTCAATCCGTTCTGCAACCCCTCCAGCAAGGCCATGAAGAACGGATCGCCATGGATCGCGCTGTCATGCTCCAGCGTCAGCATGAAGCCGATCGTTCCCATCCGCCCGCTGCGCAGCGTCCGCCCTGACCGGGTTGGGGATATAGCTTACGCGCCGCCGCCGCCTCGACCACGCGTTTGCGAGTCCTCGGGCTGACGTCCTTGCGGATCGTTCAGGGCCCGCGACACGGTGCCGATCGAGAGCCTGAGATGCCGGGCGAGCGCATGGATGTCCATTTGCCCGTGATCGCGGTCCGGCGCGTTTCGCACAAGAGGCCTTGTTGACAGCCATCGCAAAGCGAGCAAAACCGTAAACGTTTACGGCTGTCGGAGAACGGCCATGGAGAGGAACGGCCGGTTGGACACACTCATTCTGGAAAACCGTGCGGTCGCCCGGTCCTATGACGGCAACTGGTTGCGGGTCGAAGCGCATGGTCGCGACGGCCTGCGCCTGCGGGCCTCGACCTATGCGCAGGACGCGCTGCCCGGCGCGCTTCTCGACGATGGCGTGGAAGGGACCGCCTGCTGGTCACGCGCGATGGTGCGACCGCGCGCATCACCAATGGCCGGATCACCGCCGAGGTCGATCTTCAGGGCCAAACCGCTTCCTGAATGCCGATGGCCGGCTGCCGCTCGAGGAAAAATGGCGGCAGCGCGATACGATCAGCAAATATTGGACCGTCGGCACCGGACGAGGTGCGGATGATCAGCGCGCTCGGCCTGTCGGGGTCGCGAGTTCAAGCCGCTGCCTGGTGGCGCTGCGCACATCACCGTGTGGGTTCGAGGCCAAGCAGGGGGCGAGCGGCTCTGGCGGCATGGGCCAGTATCAACAGCCCCAGCTCGATCTCGCCGGCTGTACGCTGAACTGGCACAGCGCACCGCAGGCCAGCGTCCCCTTCGTCGTGTCGAGCGACGGCTAGTGGCTTTCTCTGAATATGCCGGCGGTGGGCGAGGTGCATTCGCCGCCAATGGCGCGACTGGACCGCGCAGGCCGCACGCGAGATCGATTATTGATCACCGCCGCCGACACGCCGGGCCGAGATCGTGCGCAACTATGCGGCGGTCACCGGCACCGTGCCGATGATGCCGACTTCGCGCTGGGGCTGTGGCAGAGCAAGCTGCGCTACCGCACGCAAGATGAGTTGTGGCGGTCGCGCGCGCGACTATCACGCGCGCGGCATCCCGCTGGCGGTGATCGTCGCCGACTTCTTCCACTGGCCGGTGCAGGGCGACTGGCGCTTCTGACCCACGCGAATGGCCCGATCCCGCCGGCATGACCGCCGAGTTGAAGGCGATGGGGACCGAGTTGCCACGTCTCGGTTGGCCCACGGTCGATCCGCGATCGGAAAATTATCCTGAGATGGCGGAAAAGGCCATTCAATCCGTGCCAATCGCGGGCTGGACGTGCAGCAGGAATTTCTGGGCAATACCCGTTTCATCGACACCACCCATCCCGGCGCACGCGACTTTCTGTGGGACAGGCTGAAGCGCAATTACCGCGACCAGGGCGTGGCACTGTTCTGGCTGGACGAGGCGGAGCCCGAATATAGCGCCTATGATTTCGACAATTACCGCTATCACGCCGGCCCGGTGCTGGAGATCGGCAACGCCTATCCGCTCCATTATGCCTGGCCCTGTATGACGGCCTGCATGCCGAAGGGGAAAGCGAGATCGTCAGCCTGATCCGCTGCGCACGGGCGGGCAGCCAGCGTTACAGCGCGCCTGTCTGGTCGGGGATATCCACAGCTTCGTTCGATGCCATGCGCGACCAGCCAAGCGCCGGGCTCAACATGGGAATGGCGGTATTCCGTGGTGGACGACCGATATCGGCGGCTTTCACGGCGGCGATGTCGATGATCCGGCCTTTCACGAACTGATGATCCGCTGGTTCCAATGGGCGGTCTTCACCCTGGTCCTGCGGATGCACGGGCATCGCGAGCCGATCACCCGCCGGCCGAGCCGTTCCGCGACGGCGTCGCCCAGTGCGATACCGGCGCAGGCAATGAATTGTGGAGCTTCGGCGAACCGGTGTTCGATACGCTGCACGCTATGCGCGCTTCGCGAACGGCTGCGCCCCTATATCGCCGGCTGATGCGCGCCGCGCATGAAAGCGGCGATCCGCTGATGCGGCTGATGTTCTACGATTATCCGACGATCCGCGATGCTGGGAACTGGACGACCAATATATGTTCGGTCCCGATCTGGTCGTGTTGCGCTGATCACCACCGCCGGCCCGGTCGAGCGCGACGTCTATCTGCCCGACGGTGCTGGGGCGCGATGCCCGACGGGCGAGATGGTCGAGGCGGATGCCAGATATGGTGCGACGCGCCGCCTGATCGCCTGCCGGTGTTCGTGCGCGCCGGAGCGGCGGTGGAGGCGGCGTTCGTCCTGACCGACTGATCGTCACGGAGCAGTAACGGGAACCGCCATAAAGACGGACCGGGCAAAGGGAGGAAGTCATGGCAGCCATAGCGGCGCAAGCGCCCCCGGGGCGGGGGAAGAGACCGGATCGGCACCGCCGATCCGCACATCCCGTTTTTCGAGAAGATCTGCTATGGCACGGGCGATGCCGGGGGCACCATCGTCACCGGGGCTGATCGCCAATTTCCTGACCTTCTATTACACGACGTCTTCGGGCTGGCGCCCGGGATCGTCGGCATCCTATTCCTGTCGCTGCGCATCTTCGACGCGATTTCCGATCCGCTGATCGGCATCATGGCCGACCGGACCTCCACCGCTGGGGACGGTTCCGCCCCTATCTGCTTTGGACCGCAATTCCCTGTCGGGCTCAGTTGTTTCCCGACCTTCCAGTCGCCGGACACGGGCTATGACGGCAGGTCGCCTGTGCCGCGATCACCTATTTCCTGCTCGCCTTCTCCTACTCGCTCAACAACGTCCCCCATTGCGCGCTCATCACCCATATGACCCGACAGCGCGAGGGGGCGTGTCGTGCCAGTCGGTGCGGTTCGCGATGGTCGCCATCGCCTCCTTCTGCGTCCTCGGTCGGCCTGCCGATCATGGTGCGCGAACTGGGCGGCGCGGATATCGCGCGCGGCTATCGCGACGGGGTGGCGATCCCGTGTGCGGTGGCGGTCGCCATGTTCCCATCTGCTTCCTGTTCATTGCGGAACGCGTGGTCGCCGCCGATGCCGACAATGTGCCGCTGAGGTCGCGATCGCCACCACGCTGAAGAACGACCAGCTGCGCCGACCTTCATCGGGCGACGCTGCTGCTGATCGGTATCTTCAACACCAAGGGCGGCGCGCGCTCCCTATTTCATCACCCTGTGCTGGGCGGCGACACCACCTATCAGGCGCTGTTCTTCGGCACCGCGACGGCAGGCGGCTTTCTGGGATCGGTGATCGTCCCCTTCTTCACCGTCGCTTCGACGTGAGACCGGTCTATGTCGCGGTGAACCTGATCCCGGTGGCCGGGCATTTCATGGCCTTTTCGTGCCCGGCGGCTATCCGATGCTGTGGCTGGTGCTGGTTGCTTTGTGTTGCATCGTGCTGGGCTGCACTGCGCTGCACTTCACCTCATCCAGCTCGCCGACCAATATGGCGAAAGGGGAAGCTGGATGCGATCCTCGGGACATGATTTGCCTTCAACCAGTTCTTCGTGAAGCTCGCTTTGGGCGCTGGCCGGGGTGCTGATCAGCGGCGTCACGGTGATCGTATCCTACAAGGCCGGGATGGAGAACCAGACGCCGACCGCTTCTGACCGGCATCCGGGCGCTGTCGACGATCATTCCAGCCTGATGCACCCCTGCACTGGCCGCACCGCCGCCCGCCTGATCCTGAACCGCGCGACGATCGACCGCATGACTGCGGAACGCGGCCAATGACCCTTCCAACGAAAAAGCCTTATGCCCTCCCCGCTTCGCCTGTTGCTGGTCACGCTGCTCGGTTCCGCCGCCATCCCGCCATGGCACAAGAACGGCTAACGGTGGACGCGGCCAGCGACACCGGCGCCTTCCATGGCGGCGCGCGTCGGGCACGTTTCTACGGGCTTTACGACGCGCCTGCCCCACCAATCTGGTCGAGGGGCATCGGCCTTCGCACCGTGTCGACCAAGGCGCAGGACGGCCTGCAGCATCCAGGCGCCGACGCGCTGGAGGTGGCGACGCTGCTGACCGACGCATCGGGCGGCGACACCTATATCTACATGACCGATATCAACCGCGAATTTCCCCTGGCAACTGGAAGACGGGCGACTGCGCGCAGTCGGTCACCAACTATCAGCTGCGCGCCGGGTCCGCCGGTGAAGGGCATGGGATAAGCGCTATCGCGACCACATCGTCTTCGTGCCGTATAATGAGCCCGACGGAACATGTTCAGCGGCGGCGACAAGAGCTTCAATGGCGTCAGTTGGCAGAAGGACCCCAGCGTCTTCAACGATGCAGGACCGCGCAGTGCGGATGATCCGCCAGAAATGCCCGGCGCCCGGATCGCCGGGCCAATACCAGCATCCTGTTTCCCGAAGTCGAAGGCTTTTCTGCGCCACGCCATCGCGGCGGACACCATGCCCATTTTGACTGGCACGAACTCAGCAACCCTGCGACGGTGCGAACCAGCGTGCAGCGCTATCGCGAATGGGAAGACCGGCTGTTCGCGGGCACCAAGTGGCAGGGCCGCCATCTGCCGATCAACATCAACGAATATGCGTATAACTACCATACCTCGGTCCCCGGCCAGATGGTGCAATGGGTCGCCGCGATCGAGATTCCAGGTCGATGCCGACATCGCCTATTGGAATATCGACGGCAATCTGAGCGACTCCGCCGTCCGAGGCCAATCGCGGGAACGGGCAGTGGTGGCTGCTCAACGCCTATGCGACGATGAGCGGCCATACGCTGGCCGTCACGCCGCCACATCCGGACGAGAGCTATACGTTGCAGGGCGTGGCGACGCTCGACCCCACTCGCCGGCAGGCGCGCGTGCTGTTCGGCGGCAAGAGCGGCGATGCGACCATAGCGCTGGCCCATGTCCCCGCCGCCTTCGGCGCGAATGTCCGGGTGCGGGCGCGCGATCAGCTGGACCGGGCAGTTGGGCGACGCCACCCCGCCCGACGTCATCGCCGACCGGGTCCTGCCGGTGCGGGACAGGGGCGTCGCCCGCTGACCTTCGGCGAGGACGGCCTGCCGGCGCTGCGCGAGGAAGCGGCCTATGAACTGGTCGTGACGCCCGGCGACGGTGCCCGCATACCCGCGGTCACCATCCCCCGGAGCCGAGATTATGAAGCGGAAAAGGCGACGCGGCGCGGAACCGGCTGACCGTCCGCGGCCC